TTGCTGGTATGATCCACTCGTAGTGACTCTCAGCCCTGAAGTCTTAATTAGTATCATCTGTGAGTTCCGCGTGACTCAACCCGCTCCTTTTTTTTCCCCCATCTCTCCACCTCTGCTGCCATCATCTTTCTGCCTTTTGCCTGGATGAGAAAAAGGACCTGTTAACATCCTCATATGTGTTGCTGTCTGCCATTAATTTGCACAATGACCCAACTAGGGAGTCTGTTATTAAGTGATTTATGCGTGTCTTCTTGATTCCATAAAAGCGGGATTTAAATTTAAGGCAGGCGTTGGCGCTCGTGCTCATAACTGCACACGCCACATACGCACAGTGAGAAAGCAGAGCAAATCTGCCCACTTTGAATCGGCTAATGCTCATCCAATCCAATATGGACCTGGGCTGACAGATGGGCTCAGTGTGTTCAAAGCAGAGGGTGCCGATTTAATATCCAAACAGGTCAAGCAAAGAGAGGTAGAGAGGAAGAGACACCCTTGTGCAGGCACGACTCAGAGGTCCTGCCATCCCCACCACCACAGCTGGGACTCGCCTCCCCTCCCACACTCGCTGTATTTGTTCTTGCTGCCAGGCAGGAACGCAGCATGTGCACGGCTCCTCCTCACAAACAGTGTAATCAGCTTTTTGTTTTTAATGTTAGAGATGTTTGCTGCTCGAATGAGAGGCTTGCCTCTCACGCCAAGGGCCGGGAGTGAAAGCCATAAGGAAAGGAGTGGATTTCTGCTGCCGCTCGCTCTGACAGTGTGATTTAGATGCTTTCTCTTCCCTCTGACGCAGAGTCCCTGCCTGCCCGGCTCTACTGCAGGGATAGGGAGAAGAATGGTGGTGCTTACCCTGAAAGCCTGTTATTGCTCTGTATGTGTGTTGGTTCACGCAGCACGCTGGCATTTCTTTAAACAACCTCCTTTGTCAGTCACTGAGATGTGGAAGATGTGCATGAGCACAGCAGAGCTCCCATACGCCCTCGAACACACGCAGGTTTGTGTGTTCTCGGGTCCAGATGGAAGTGCTTATTGAGTGCTGGTGTGCTGGCAGATCTCTCTGTCTCTCTGAGAGCGGGAGAAAATAAGAGGGGAGAGAAAGCAGGGAGGAAAACCTTTCCAATCAGATCCATCATCTTTCTGCGTCTCTGGTAAAGCGAGTGAATGTGTGATCTTCCCAGCCAGCTCTTCCTGCCTCTGCTCTCTAATCTTATCATGTCGAAGCAGCAGATTAGTCCCCCCCGATCCCATCTCTGCTTCCAAATGCTACAATCAGTCTTTTGTTCTTTGGTTGTGCCAGCGACAGGCAAGGTGAACATTCCCACACTCTGTCCTCCCCACCATCTTGAGCCCCCGTGTCAATGTCACACCGCTTCCAACCCAGAGCTTCATACCCAAGGCTCCCCTGCCCCAGGGGCATTAGCTAACTAAGCTCTTAGCTCAGCACTCGGCTAGCCTCGCTGAACTGCTTGACATTCCTCCCTAACACTGTGCTGCTGCAGTCGCTCTTGCCTGCTTGACCTCCCCCTTTTCCTTCACTCCCCACCATCTCCTTTGTCTTCCCGTGTCCCTTACTTCTTGGTTGCAACCTTCAGTAGGAAGACATAGATCCAGGCTGTTGTTGTCACCAGTTAGGGAGGGGGGGGGGGGGGTCACTAACAGGGTTGGCAACGGAAGAGGAGAGTGTTTGAAAAGCAGAGAAAATAAACAGAGCTTTCCTGTTAACGAGGTGCACTGCTGGGGCCGTAGTGTGTGAGCAGGAGGATCTGGTATTGTTTAAAGCAGAGCAGCAGCCTTACAGTGCAGGGAGGAGGAGGAATATGGCACAAGGTCTGATGGCTACAGGTTAAAACGGCATTTTCCCACTGAAAGGCAGCAGCCATGTCGTAAAACCACTGTGAAAACACAAAAGAGAAACTCACTGTTCTGCATTCTCGTTCTTAAGAGGTTGGTTGCATTGTAGGAGGGTTATGCATTGAGATGTTCTGCTTTTCTTTCACACAGTTGTGCTTGAAAACAGAATTATTTCCTTGTGTGAAGTGCACAGCTTTACAGATTCTACCCTGAAGTCTTGGAACTGGTTATTTTCATATTTATTGACAGTGCATGTAAAGAGGAAAAGGTTGCCATCTATGTCCTTTTCTTGCTCGCTGTCTTTGTAGTTTTATTGCCGTGCACAGGGGCCCCAGCTTCAGAGTTGACTGCACACACATATGCACTCACACGAACACACTATACAAAGAAAAGTGCACAGCCACTATAGTCCCAAGGGGCCAGTCACCTTTAGCTAGTCAGAGGCAGAATTAACCAGCTCACACGGGCTTGTCTTGGCTGCTGTTCCAAGAGAGATTATTGTGCCTATTGTTTTCTTTTATTAATATTGACACTTTCTTTATTTGCTCCTCAAGAGCACATTTGAATGTCGTAATTTTTACAAAATTATAACCCACTTGGGGATATGTCCCCTTACATTTTAGCCTCTGTGCGATGAGTGATCGTAAGAATACCACAGGACAGTCAGAGCTGTTGGAGGAATGGGGGGTGTCATTGTGTTCATCCCTAAAGCATGACTCTCAGATTTATATCACCTCAGTGAATAAAAGGGTTGCCTTGTACCCTGGGGGCTTCACTGAAGTGGGAGGAGGGGAGATGTCATTTTTAGACTGGGGGAATTAGATGGGACTTTTCCTTTATCCTTAACCAACTCTTTTCTGCCCCTGTCTTTTACCCTCCTTATCTCCTCTACTTTGCCTCCTTTCACTTTATTTTTTATTTTTAATACTCTTGTTGCACTCGAGGGTTCATTAGTCTTGGCCTCTCTGCAGTCCTCGGGTTCAGGGTCCAGGACAGGGGAGGGCAGGGCCATGTTTAGCCTCTGGCAGGACAGACAAAGATGTCCGGCATTGTGCGAGACTCGGCTTTGCTCAACAGGCAGCGTGGAATGTCTCTAATCAATTCAGCATTGTGCCTCTTATATGCTCTCACTCTGTCATTTTCTATGGCAGGCTTTGCAGACCCAGACAATGCAACTAGTAGTTCGTTTGTCAAGCCCGAGCTGTCTATCATCTCCCTTCATTTTCTCCCCATGTTATCTACTCCTTTTTCCACCCCGCGTGTTTATAGAATTGTGATAATTGAAAGCTATGCTCGACTCCCACTACGTGTCCCATATGTTGCACTCTCAGTCTTTCTTTCCTTCCCTCCCTCTTTTGCCTGAGAGGGCTTAACGCTCCTGTGAGCTTCACAGCAGCAATCGGGTCTGGAGAGTGGCAGCTACTCTGTAGTGCCAACGATACTGATGATAGTGGAAACAACATTTGGTCTCTGCTTCAGTTTAAAATGATGGAAGCTTGTGAATAAGAGAGCCGCGTGTGCCCGCATATTTCCCCCCGCCGTACGTGTTTGTGTTTGCAGCCCTGTTTTTCCAAAATCCCTTCGGTTTTGTGGTTTTTACCGGCAGAAAATGAAATGTTCAGGCAGCACACTTGTAGCAGTCACTGTCTCCTTAAAGTATTAATTATGTATAAGCACCAGATAACAGCTCACTCTGCTGTGGCAGGCAGTCTGCCGGTCCAAAAGGCAACAGCGTCTGTGCACTGGATAGGCTAGAGATCGGGGTGGCTGGCTGCTGGATAGCTGCTGGAGCGGAGGGGGGGAGAGATGACGTCAGTGCACACATATCCTCACTCACTGTATGCCTTCATGCTCGGGGGTCGTTGTCTCAGTCCATCAGTATGGCTCTCTGTTGACTCACAAGAAATGTCTGTGTGTGTCCGTGTGATGTTGCGTGCATGCTCCTGTAATCATCCAGAGCAGTAAAGCAGCTGACCGACTGCATGCCAGCTGCTGTTTAACACATCCAGGCTCACTTAGTCACTCATTCCCCCTCCCTACTCAAGGCTGGGAAAAGGGAAGCTCAGACCAAAGAAAATGCAGACGTGGTGGAGTGGAGAATTGCTCTGAGAAAAGTGGAGGAGTAAGAAAGGGAGGAATGGAGAGAATGGGAAAACCAGAGGTGGGCTTTGAGGTTTTAGAGAGGTGATGACTTGCTTGGCTGCTTGTGCTCAGTCTCCTCCCCATGGACATAACAGAACAATGTACTCGAAAGGCTTTAAATATCTTTACTCTGACCTCATGTTCCTTTACACACAAAGTGTGCACATGCACACCAGAGTCTGGAAAGGGGGGACGTTGAAATATCTGTCTTAGATTAACAGAGACTCTTTTTGTTTGGTGGTTTTCTTTTTTTCCACATGTTCATTTTTTTCCCATTGGTGGTGTCAAGGGTGGTGCAGGTGTTTCTGTCTGTTTGCCTGGTGCAGTACAGCGAGGAGCACGAAAATCCTCAATAAAGTGGCACGGCCCTGTGATTGTGTTGAATTCCAGCACCGAGCCTCGCCGTCTTTCTGATGTTCTTTCAAACCACCGGGACAGTCTGTTGGACTCGTCTGAAGACGAAATAAATATTTTATAATGTGAAGAGAAAACACTTTCCTGCCCTTTTCATCCCGCACCTCAGGATTTGCCTGAGTTGTCACCATTTTCTTCCCACCTCTCACTCGTCTCCCCTCTCTGCTTTTTCATTGCTTTGAAAAGGCTCCGTTCTCGTCTCAGTGCTGCCCCTTGCTGGTCATCTTAAGAATTGCACAAAGTTGCTCACTTGCACTAAATACAAAAACCAGTGGGTGGCAGCAGTAAAGGAGCGGAAAGTCCAAACATAAAGAGAAGATATACAGTGCAAAAAATGAACCTAAAAGCTTTGGCTGAATGCTAAATATCCCAGCTAACTTAAATCAAACCAAGGCATTTTTTATCACTAAGGTTCTCCTTTATAATTGCCCCAGCAATGGCCATCCTACTGTTTACTTTATTAAGTCTCTAAATACTCTACAATCCCTTTTTAATTGACTCAGTCTCTCTGTGGGATTTTTTTGGCATTGGTCTGTGTGAATTATAAAAAGTGCATCTGCACAGCATCATTCTCTGCCAAAAGGCCAGTTTGTGACGTTGTAATCAAACAAAATTTCTGTTCATCTCGATGTGGGATTTTTATGTCTACTGATCGTTTGCTCTTTGTCTCTGTGTGTTACAGAGTAAACGGGACCATCTGCTGATGAATGTGAAATGGTACTACCGCCAGTCAGAGGTGCCTGACTCTGTGTACCAGCACCTGGTGCAGGATCGCAACAATGAGAACGGTGAGAATCCATCAAGAGCTTAAAATAAATTTTAAAAAATAAAAAAACACACACCTGCAAATAGGCATTGATACAGCACAGAAACACAGGAGTAAACACTCTTAATTGGTGTGCATCACTGGTCACGATTTGTCCTCACAGAGACACACGTGTACACACCTCATGCACACCTACTTTCCTCTCCTGTTGGGTGATATGTGAGCCACCTGTGAATTGCATTTTAAACAGACTGGATGACAGTGTCCCAGGCAGCCCAGCTAATCCCATGGTTCCATGCTGTTCCCTGGGCAACACTCCCTCGGGCCAGACAGCAGCGCTGTCAAGTGTTAATAACCCACAGTGTCATGTGGCCCTTGAGCAAACATAGTCAACGCCGCTGGTGCCAGTGGACCCATCTCACTCTAACACAAACACATCTAAGAAAACATGAGCACTGCCACTGACATTCTGCAACCAAAACTAAAATCTGTGTAACATATAGCACATTTTATGAACATTCAAAACTTAGTTCTTGATTTATTACAACTTTTTAATTCAGCTATTACATAGTTCAGTATGTTATTTTTAATTTTTTAATTTAAATGCAAATGTTTGTTCGGTTGCTGTCATTTAAAAAATCTTGGTGGTCTTTATGCTTACATACTCTCCCAAATGTCTTATAAAATATAATAACATAACATCGAATTTAAAATACAATTTTGTTGACCTCCATTTAATCTGCAGACTGTTTTATTCTGAAACTGAATGTTGGGAACAAACCTGCAACACACACACTCGGTTTTAAAAAAGTTGTTTAAGTAATAGTGTTGGGGTTATTTTTCCCCCCTCGTCGCTGAGATTATGAATCCACGTGTGTGCTGCTGCTCTACCGAAACGCCACACGGCGCTATCTGCAGGACGTCCTTGCAGCGGGGAGTCGGAAATATTAGGATTGATGTCACTCGAGCTGCAGAGTGTTTGCTACAGCTCTGGTCATTTGTCAAAGACGAGTCCTCAGCTCCTTCTCGGAGCGGCATCTCAACCCCCCTGTTGGGGTTATTTCACTTGAGAAGTGAACATTGCATCCCCTCCTCAGGGGAGGGCGGATTATTGGCTTTATTGAATTATGTGGCATATAATTGACCTCTGCAGAGTATCTGTTACTGCAGGTTTGCACAGATCCCTTCTCATGGTTTTATAAGAGGGTTAAAGAGGGAAAAAAAAAACGTAACTACTTTATCTCTGTTGCGATACTGTGATACTTTTCTTCATGAATGAACATCTTGTACATGTGCTGTCGTCCTCCTGCAGACTCCGGCCGGGAGCTGGTCATCACAGACCCTGTGGTCAGGAGTCGAGAACTCTTCATCTCCGACTACGTGGACACTTACCATGCTGCTGCTCTCAGGTACACAACAAACAACATTCAGATTTTGTTTGTGCCTACTGTTGCTTTCGATTGGTCGAGCTCTGGGTCGTGGTCTGTTTTTCAGTTAAAAACAGTTTTGTAAAAAGAGCAACCATTTCTTTTTTGCCCTTTGCAGCAGTCTAACATAAAGTCGCTTTTTATGGCGCCCTCTGCTGTTCTTGGGGTTTAAAGATTTTCTTGCAGGACAGACTATAGTTCATGGATCCAGATTATATCCTTAGGTTTTGGTGGTATTGCTGTTGTCCTAACAGACAGAACCATTTGCATAACACTGGGGAAAAAGGTAAACAGACGCATAAGATGTAAAGCCTTAGAAAAAATAAACTCCTGCCTCATGTCGCGTTTCCATTCAAACGCAGATTAACGTGCTTCAGAATCAGTTTCTCACACACACACAGGGAGCAGAAACTGTGCAGCTGACGGCTCTCCCACCATGCTTTATGTCTGCAGGCACACGTGCACGCTTAATCTGTCTCTTCATCCATTCCTGGCTGACCACCCCATCTCCCTCTTCCCCTTCTCCTTTAACCAGAACCATCTGTGAACAGCAAATCCATGTCTTCCAGAAACCACAGATTTCAGGGCAAATTAGCTGCAACCTCTCCTACACAGAGCTGCCTTTGATTTGACTTATTCTCTGGGCTTTAGATAAACGGGAGGGAATTCCAGTGGGATGCTGTAATGCAGCAGCTCTCCAAAGTCGGCTCTCCTTAGCACTCTTTAATCTTTTCGGGGAGAGGAAGATCCTGTTTCTGTGCAAAGGCAGCCCAGCTTCATATGCCTTGTGATGTCTGTTATTATGATAGAGTGAGACTACAGGGTGCTGGAAACAGGAAATGGTATCAAGATGCGGTCAGAGCTTGAATTTTTCTCTCGATATTGATGGCGTCTCGCCTGTCTCCCACATCCTAGCTACAGCAGAGGAGTGAGGGCAGACGTGCGTAGCTGGTGTTTACTCCATAAGCAGCCAGAGTGTGATGTCTCACCACAAAAGTCAGCAGGCTGTGACAGGCCGTTGATACCTGCCGCTGTGTTTGTCACCTCTCACTGATGAACAGCCCAGAAAACTCCTAATTATTATAGCTACTTGTTTTCCTGCTGTGGCATCACTTTCTCATCTTGCTGTGTTAGTCTAACAGAGCCCGTCTTCTCTTCTGCAGGGGGAAATGCAACATTTCCCATTTCTCCGACATTTTTGCTGCCCGGGAGTTCAGAGCCCGCATTGACTCCTTTTTCTACATTCTCGGATACAACCCAGAGACCAGGTGAGGAGCTTTCTGTCCACTTACCTCCACTGATAAGAGTTGTTCCCTCCCCCAAAATACATGTCATTTTTGGTTTGTTGTAATTTGTCCATCAAACATCACACGAGTTTGAAAGCATAATTGTTATACTTTCACCAAACACTTCAAAATAAATATATTCTGACCAGAAAGTTCTAGATTTTTTTAAAGCATATTTTACAGTATTATGTAGAGAATTTCCAATCAAATCTAAAGATGAGGCTTGCATGAGTTTTCCAGCTTTCTCAGAGAAACTATAAGATTTACAGGGACTTTTTCCCCCCAGAAAACCTACAAGTGCTTGGCCATAAAAGATTGTTGCAGATCAATTAAATAACTACTCTTTGTATCTGAGAGGAAGCACTTCGTTATATTATATATTAAGAAACAATAAACAATGTAAAATATATCCGTAGCAAGTCAAAGATTGTGTGATTATAGGTCATGCTAAACAGCCATTTTTGCTTGTTCCCATAGCATGCAGCAGTACTAATATAGTATTACAGATTTGTTCGAACAGCTTTGTGTGCTGCTACATAATCTAATGATGGTGTCTGCTCATTAATGCTGATAATATTATCTGTGCACAAAAAGCAATCTTAATATGGAGTAATTATTTGGAAACCCCTATGGCTTTTTAATTGTTTTAGTATTTTATAAAATAGCTCAAATTACGTTTCACATTTAAATTACCGCTCTTTCAGAACTTTAAACGTTTTTACTCTACGATAATAATTATGTAATAATAATAATAATGTTGGTCATTTATTGATGATTTATAATGCACGTTTCCCAATATATAGCCAAAAATGATTTAAAAAACAACAAAATCAAGTGAAATATAAATAGGCAATGCTAGCCGGAGACAAAACAGCAATGACAAAAAAAACAAGCCAAAAAAGGGTGAATAAACAAAGGCATTGGAGCATTGTTGCCTATTATTATTCTCACCATTTTGGTTGATTTGATTCAGAAGCATATAAAAAATAAAATACCTGTCATACTTGGACTTTATAGTTTGTACCTGCATGTATGTGATTGAGATTTAGGTAGTTGACAGGAGTGAGGTGTGGATATGTTTCAGAACCATATAAATATTTAATTTTTCTTTTTAAAGTTAACTTTCAAGATTTGCAAAAGCCTTTTTTACAGGCCGAGGAGGTGTAACAGCTTAATTTAATTCAGTTTGTTAATTGTTCAGCAGACAAAATATATGAATTCTTTAATGCTCTTTGCAGCATTTCTTCATAATGGCTTCCTTATAACATTGTTGCTGCTCTTTGACTCAGAATAAAAAGCGGTCTGAAGGATGTGTGATGCACGTCAAGCCGTGGTTGTACAGGCAACAGAGGTGAACTCTTTGTTTTTATCCATGGCTGTGGTCGGAGGGACTCACGTGTTGCAGTGACAGCTGCGGTTGTAGTTGCTACTGAGGGCTGTGGGTGAGGAGCCCCCTCGCGGGGGCCCCTGCTCTCCCGCTCCCTTCCTCCCTCTGCTCCGGCTCGTTCAGTATTCAGAGCGAGGTGTCTGCAGCATTGCAATTTCACTCTTATTTATTATGGTGCCGACATACAATGAGACACGAATTCCACGTCCCGCACGCGTGTCCGTCTGCCTGCGCGTGCGTCTTCGCGCGCGCCTGTGCGAGGTCGCAGCACATGCTCAGTCGCGTCTGTAGAGGAGAGAGTGGAGCTCGCGACGCTGTACGTGCTGGCTGAGGTCACAGCACAAGCTCAGTGAGCACCTCTCCGGAGTGAATGCGTGGTTCTCCATTTTGAGCACCTAGAAATAGGTGTGAGAGGGGAGCCGGATCCCGCGAGCTCTGCTCACCCCCAGTGTCACCACCCAACTGTAGGGCTCGATGTCAGAAATGGACGATTTGTTCAGTCCTCGGAGGTAGGTCTGCCATCATCTCCCGGTGCTGTCTCGTGCCGTTATCGGTGGCCGCGCGAGCGTGGAGACTCGTCTTGTTTTCGTGGGTCGTTGTGTTGTGAGCTGAATGGAGAAACTGTGCCGTTTGGGAGCCGTCCGCATCGCTGTCAGCGCGCGTGGTGGCTGTTTTTTTTGTGTCTCGCGCAGCGGAGGAGCGTGCACTGTGTGTGGGTATCCCGACAGGCTGCACGCCGCTGAGCTCTGGGGCTGTCACCGCAGCCCACACACCGCTGCGTGTTCTCTGTCTGCGTGGGGAAACGGTGGCGTCTGGCTCCTGGTATACAGCTCACGCAGAACCCGGATAGGTGCGCGTTGTTTTCGAGTGATGAGCGTGCACCCGGTGTGAGCGCATGCCTGTCTGAACACCCGGAGAGGGTTCCCCCGTCTCCATTTTGCTGCTCCTGTTTACAACCGGGACGGCGTGGCGTGGAAAGCGTCGCCAGGGAGCCGCAGTCAAAGCTCAGCCGGCTCCTCCTGCCCGCTGGGATCTGCACTAGCTGCTCATCACAGGAGATCTAATACCTGGAAGTTTGCTGTATTCGCGGCGCTGCAATTATGTCAGTGTGCCACAGTCTGGCGCTGTGATTGGTCGGAATTGATGGAGGGGGGTGGGTTTTCCTTGATTGCATGCACACAAAGTTGACCAGACTGTCACTTTGTTTGGGTTTGGTGAATAGGTCCTGAAAACGCTTGACAGGATTGTGTGATCATGCTGACTTCAACCATAACATGTTGTGCATGTAAATGAATGACTTTCAGGTAGTTTGCTGTTTATTGGTAACATTCTTTTAGATGCTTATTAGGGAAGACGACAATTAATATGATTAACACCATTGTTATATTTTAAGTGTCAAAGTTTGATCATTTACACTGATACTCACAAAATATTTACAATTGTTTATGGAAGGATGACGTCATAATTCAGTTAAAAGCATGTCTCTTTTTTGCCATTTCAGTAGGCTGTTTTCCATAGTGTGTCCTCAGCTTTAATGGAAAATCATCTGCGCTTCCCGCTGCGTTCTGTATTCTCCTTCATCTCTCAAGAACCTTGTAGCATAAAAGTGTGGCTGTCTTTGGACACACTGTTCTTATTCTGGTGCACCCGTCCTCATTTGTCATCCTTACAACCTCCTGCCAAACATACCTTAGACCTGGCCAGCTGCATGTTGTCAGAAACGCATTTGCAGCTTTTTCCTTGTCCAGAATCACAGATAAGATTCCAGTTCATTTATAATGAAAATGTTCCTTTGTTAGGCCTCACATATACATTTGTTTCTTATGAATATTTGATAACGGTGGCAAGAAGAGTCAGAGGTTTACAGTTTTATTCATGTCAAACAAGTCTTGACAGCTATCTGAAAGTGATTATAAATACACTGGTGCTTAAAACCTACTTTAAAACCTAAGATATAGGATTCTACTCTGAAATGAATGCTGGGAAATGTTGAAGGTCCAATCAGGATTGTTGGTGACACAGAAGAACAGCTTTTTTCATTTGCTCTTCACCACGTACCACATTGCGTTTTTGTGGCCTTACAGCTCTTGAGTGATTTACATTGAGTTTAACTTATCTACTAAGAATGTTTGTTCTCAAATTAGATGGTGTTGGAAGTTCTTCAGAGCTGTCGATTGTTTCTGCAGCAGTCATTTGCTGTTGCTAAAATGAGTGTTTTTGTTAGTATGTACATATGTGCCGGCTCCTCTGTCAGCCATAGCTCACGGCCGTATGGATTACACCCCTAATCACCCCGTTCTGTCTGAGAAGAAGTTGGAGGAGTTCTGTCAGGACGAGGAAAGGGGGAGTCGGGTCAAATATGCGCCGTCACAGGTTTTGTGTAGGTCTGAGGTTTGGAAAGAGGCCGGCGGCTTTTGGCTTCTCGAGTTCCCTCCAGGTCTCAATGATGAAGTGCAAGTTTCTCTGGGTGCAAATCACGCTGACAGATTCTGGGCCTCTCCACACTCTCTTGTATGAAAATCGGCGCTGTTGCCTAGGCAACAGAGGGAAAGGGTTTTTCAAAAGGAACATCTTGTCATTTTCTTTAATCCACTGCAGCTGTAGAATCAGAACACTATTATTAAATTGCAGTTGCTATGGCTACCAACGTTTGTACCAGCAGCCGCTTCCAGAGGCTCTCACCCTGCATAACCAGAGCCAGCTCCCCCACCTCCAGCCCTCCTCCTCCTTTTAGGGGATTCTGTTTTATTGCTGCATCCATAATATCAGGCCTGCAAATGTTCTCTGCTCAGCTTGCAGCACACAAGCAGCCAAGCAGGAATATTCCCCCAAAATCTTTATTGGCCTCAGAATAAAACACAATGTACTTGTCACTCTTGTGACATATTTTCTCATAACTTCCATAACTAACGCTACATTATCCCCACATTCACGGTTTGATTTCTGTCTGCTCCGCGTAAATGGAACATTTGTGACATCCCATTTGTTCGATACAGTGAATTATGTGTAAATACATGTATGTATTTCGTCAGCAGGATTTTATTCGTTTTTACAGTCAGCCTTAAAATTTTGATGAGTAATCATTTTATTCAATCGGCTGTTTTTGTTTCTTCCCAGACGGCTAAACAGCACACAAGGGGAAATCCGAGTAGGACCCAGCCACCAAGTAAGTTATTGTACAGCATACATCGCTCTGGAAAATCTATGTATGGCATGATTTTGTAACTGACATCATCATCTGACAAAACAACCACTGTAACTTCAAGACAACCTTTGCCATGTGTTTTGGCACAGACATATTTGAGTCAATAATTCTGCTCCCATGCATGCTTACTGATACATGGGCTGTTTTCCAGTTTAAAAGCAGAGTCGACCTGTAACTTTACTTCGAGTCAGCTGCGCATGTGAGCAGGCTCTGTCTGACATCAAGTAAAAAAACTTGAATTAAAATAGCTCTAACATGTCGAGACATTGCATCTTTCTTTTGATAAAAGGTCATATGCACACAGTGTTGTACATCTGATCCTCAGCAAGGACAAAGTCATTAGAGTTGTACGCTTAAGTGTCAGGATGTTGAGTCATTGTGACTGTAATTTGTCCCCACTGCCAGTCCTCAGCTACACAGCAAAAAAACTTGATGACAAGGAGCTGAAAGCTGATATTTTCTTTAAGCATGTGTGCTATTTGCAGTATGACACCATCTGTCTCTCTCTTTCTCTCTGGGCCTAATTAGGCCAAGCTCCCCGAGCTACAGCCTTTCCCCTCCCCTGGTGGCCAGGCCGTGACCGAGAAAGAGGAGCTGGTCTGGATGCCGGGGGTCAACGACTGTGACCTTCTCATGTACCTCAGAGCCGCAAGGTGAGGAACGCAGGAACCTGAAAAATAGAAGCTGTTGTAAATACTTCTCAAAATAAAAATAACCATATGATTTGAGTAATTTATATATATATATGTATATATATCTCCTGTCATTGCCGAGTGTAGATTTCCAGTCTCGTTACTTCTAAAGAACAGGAGGGGCTTCCTCTCACCACATTTCCAAAGTTCTGTAGAGCAAAATACCTGTGATTTCTTCTAGAGTTACGATTGCCATTTCGATGCAACAGATATACCACTGAGCTGTTCCAGTGTCGTGGGAAAGTAAATCAGTCACCAACACTCCGTGACATGTTGTTGCTGTTCATGTGATATGTGTTAACAGGGTTCTTTGGTAGTCTAGAGTCAGTATAATCAGTCCGTCACAGCACTGCAGAAATTCCACTGAGCTTTATTTTTATCTGATTTTTAAAAATTTTTTTTAATGCATGCCAGTACAAGTTTAGAGACCTAAATGGCTGAAACCCACACAATTAAGCCACTTGGCTTTTTGTTTTTAAAAGCTGCCATGATTGTAAATATTGAATTTATGAAATGTTATTCTGGCATGCATTACAATGCTGGTCAAAATAACTGTTGCTGCATAACTCAAGTTATTACAAAGGCCACTGGGCTTTTTAATATTGAGTTTTTGTTAAAAGCTGTTAAACATTTGTGTAGTTTAGCTATGTTTTGTGAATGTGTGTTTTTTTTAATGGGAGATAACAGGATTGTTTTGTGTCTGCAGGAGTATGGCTGCCTTCGCGGGCATGTGTGACGGAGGCTCAACAGAAGATGGTTGTCTAGCAGCCTCGCGAGATGATACTACATTAAACGCACTTAACACTGTAAGTAGCTGCACACAGGTTACAGTACTCACACAACAGAAATAGTCACATAATAAGATTTGAACTACTTGGAGTTCACCCAAGGTTGTATCTGAGTTAGCTGTGCAGATTTAGCTGTGGCCATGATAAGGCCCTGGAGCCAGCCGACAAGCCCCCTTTAGAAAACCCAGCCTTAGAGGCTAACAATACATTACTAATAATGAGAGATCTGTCTATCACATTGACAATGAATGCTGAGGAATCGAGCACAACAAAGAGATTAGAGTCATCATAAACAGGGCATTTATATTCTGACTCTATAAACTGGAAAATTAACATAGCGGGCAGGTCATTGTCTCTTGACCTTCCTCTCTATTTGCAATTCCAATGAGTAATGCTTGTTTATTCTCGAAGGAAGAGCTCCAGCGCTGCCCGCTTCACCCAATTGAATGCGACACAAAGCTTAAATCTGTGCAGCAATTGCCTTTGTCACTGTGTTGTTTGTATCCTGGCCGGTTCTTGGGTCTTGGCAGGCATTCCCTCTAATGCTAAAAGGTTTGCACAGAAAAGTTCAGTCAGACCTGGATGTAGAATCTTTATTTTCTGACACAACCCACAAAAGACATGAAAATGTCACATAATTTACTCTAGTGTTGATAAGGAGAAACATGTTTTCTTTCTGTATCTATACATTATGTTATGCTGTTGTGTTGATTTTTTAAAATCTTTTATTCTCAGCTTCACGAGAGCAGCTATGATGCAGGAAAGGCTCTGCAGCGGCTGGTGAAGAAGCCGGTACCTAAACTGATAGAGAAGTGCTGGTCTGAAGATGAGGTGGTAAGAGAGACCCCTTTTTTAACACGAACATTACAGTGTCAGCTTTCCTGCTCGCTAAGGTTGATATTCTGACTCGGTTTTCATGCAGACGGTGTCTTTTCTATTGTTGTTGTTATAATGTTTACTGTCTGTCAGAGCTTAGTTTGTGTCTTTAGAGGGAGCTGTTGAGAGACACAGAGGGCGAACACAGGGCTCTTGGCCCGGCCTCACACGGCATCAGTAAAAACACTCGTCAGTTTCCAGCTCCTCCAAGGCTCGAGAGCAGCTGCATCCTGTTTATCACCAGCAAAATAAATCTTATGCATGGAAGTTTGGAAAGGGAAAGGATTGGGGGCTGGTAATGTTAGACTCCATTTGAATGTGGATGTGAGTTTCACCACAGCTGCTGACGGGCTGGAATCAGAAAATGGCTGATCAAACACCACATCATGAGTGGGAAGTAGAGGAATGAAAGCACTGAAATACTCCATGTCAAAACGACTAAGCACCACATAACCGCTTTGGCTGTTATGTGTTATGACACAGAGGCAGCGTGTTTGTATACCCACTCACTTTTTAAAGCTAACACCTCTCAGCCTTATTTTACTGTAGATCTGCTAACTGCACAGCAATTCTGCAGTTCCTTCCAGGCAAATCATACCTTTACTCAGGTGATGTTTTCTTGTTTTCTAGAAGCCGCCAAATCTCTTGTAGAGCTTTTGTCTCACAGCTCATGTTGTTCTGAAATGTAGGCTTCCGTTAGCTGTACATGAAGGGCACATTTTAGTAAAGTCACAGCCCTCAGACCGCAGTTCAATGTTAAAAATCAGTATGTCTACCTTCAGCTAAAACTTTTCTTATCAAACTAGCAGTTTGTTTAAAACCAATGGGCAACTTCTGGTTGCATTCGGATCAAAATTTACACTTAATGTACTAAAAGTCTCATTTTACTACTAATATATTATATGATGTCCACACTGGCGTTTTCCAGACAGAATAAACAGAATGTCCGTCAGGATGTAAGAAAAAAGGTGTCTGTCGCTTCTAATGGAGAAAAAGTCAATTCAAATGTAAGTATCTGCAATAAATTCATGCAAAGTGAATACTGACAGTTCCTCCACCCTGCAAGCAACCAATGAAAATGTGTCTGCCAAAGATTTTATCGGCTTAAGCAGAGTCATTTATTAGGAGGTAGCCCTACAAATCAAGTCACCCATTCTTTTGTGGACTAGTTATGAGTTTCCTTTATTTATGCATGCTTACTGGCACCCGGCTGAACAGCTGCTTGAAGGTGATCCGGGGGGAGGACATGTTAATGGGAGGCTTTATTGCTGCACTTAACCACATAGCTCTTATCAAAGAAAGGCTGAAGAAACTCGCTGTAAATTAACTGAATAACACGATGCAAAACAACAATTTGAGAAACTCACCATTCATAGATTATATCTTAGTTTAACAATAATACAAAAATTGTAATCCACAAGTTAAAATGACTTTTACTAAGGCACCTTGAAAAAACAAAACTAATCTGACTGCAGACTTGAATGGTGACGCCGCAGTAAACCCTGAAAAGGATTTTTTTGTGATATACGTTGAGATTGGGAAATAGTTTTTTTTTTAACTTTTAATATTTAGACTAAGGTCAATTCATTAACCCTAATTAAACCCTAATTAATTACATAAAAATATTATATTTTGCCAGGATCCTGCTCCTGTGTGTTGACAACTTAATTACTCTTTTTTACTACTTGGATTGAGTCCATAATGTGCCTCCACGTAGACTGAAAGATCCCACATACTTGTCTATTTTTAGTCTCAAAGGTAGTGGAGTGAAAATCAAACCATGAGTTCAAGAGAATTGTCCACTTTCTGTCAATAGAGGACAACCAATAAACTTGATAGATCTGTCTGCCAGGCCAGACGTGTAATAATCAAGTCAATGGCCGTTATGATTGAGATTCCAATGCCAGTCATCTCTAACCATTAGGACGTTATGCCAGAAGGGAACAGCACAGGCCACTTTTCTTGCTGTTGAATTCAGTTAGAGAGGAAAAAGAAATGACAATGTCGGAAAATGAACACATTGTCATCAATAATTATCATAATCTCTGGGAATATCTGGAATATTTTAGCATACCTTAGAAAGATGGCAGTCAGTTGGGGGGAGTGAGTGAACTGCATGCTAATTCAGTGTAGAATCGACTGTACGACACTTCTCTTAATATTTTGAGGTAATTTGTATTTAGCTGTTATTTCCATCCCTCAAGATACGCATTAAGATTTCTTTGATGCAGGCAGGCGGGAAAAAAATCTCCAAATGGGTGTGTATTTTTTATCGCACAAAACCTTTAAGTAGGTTGTCAGCTTCTTAGGCTGATGTTGACCAGAACCTTAAAGAAAACACAGAAGGTACTTATTGAAAACTTTTTCAAGTGACCCTGCTAGGGCAGAACATACCTGAGCTTCTCTGGAGAGACTGCCCCTTTAACCTACTTATGACTTAATTAAACTTACAAAAGAAAGGTGTGCAAGACTGGTGGGGTCATTCCCAAGAAACCTTTTGGCTATTAATCTTACCACCTGTGCTTTAAGTAACAGGGGAGTTGTAAAGATTCTGATATGTTTTTTAATCACCCTTATTATTTTTCATTTGATAATATTAATCCAAGACTGCAAACAGCCTTTGTCCAGGGGATCAAAATTACCTCCGACTGAACACATTTTTGAACCACTGCTCATAAAGCTGGTCGTAAATGCTGTGAGATCTGCGCCTCTTTTTGAACACCTCTTAGCCATGTTCGGAGCCGGCTGTGGTTTATGTCTGCTGGTGGAGGCTGGCGTCAGCACTTGCCCCCGCGCTGGTGAGGCGGCGCCTTGACTCCGGCCAGTCAAGGACATGTCTCACAATGATCTGATCACCACTTGTGCCTTTTCAGCCCTGCAGCCTTGAGGGACAGGTGTAAATGTAGCTCTAGCCTTGACACACTCGAAGCCAGCCATGCTTCTCCTTATTTATTTATCACCTTCTCCTCTCTCTCCCATGTCACCCCTTCTAGGACTGGTATCATTATTCCTGCTTCCCCTTTTTCATCCCCTCCGTTCTGCCAGAGATATGAATAAAAGTGACAGTGGGGGCGGCTAAAATGACAAAATCACCCTGTCTTCAGGGTCCCTTGTCACCTCCCCTCCCCCCGTGACATTTCTTGCCCCAGCCCCTACTTCTCCTGTCCTGTCTTTGCCTCCAGCTGCTGCCACATCACATGCAGTACTGGACCTTGTCCCCCCATCTTTTGATGATAATGTTAATTTTTGCCCCAACACTGAAGGATAGAGGATGATTTGTGGGCATTTTAATACGGCTGGAATGCCCTGCTGGTCCTGGAAAAATGGAAAATTGCCATTGAACTCTTAAATTATCTTTAACTGTGTCATTATTACCAAAACTTTCACACACTGAAAATCCATCACCTTTAAATGAGCACCAATCGAGCTACACAACGCGTGAGTTCAGTGATGACTCTAGATTACGGCAAAGAAAACTATCATGCATTATTAAAAAAGATAAAATATTAAACTATGAATGAATATTTAATTAAAAAAACACGTGCACAGCCTCAACTTCCTTGTAGCTTTTATTGTGTGGGCTGTTTACAGTGGAGCAGCAGTTTTTTTTAACTACCATGAAAAACGGAGAAATGTAATCTGCTGTCGCTGCTCAGTAAATACAGTTCCACACAGGCTGACTCAAAGCAGTCCTCTGCCTTCACCAACAGAAGAAAGCCAGTCCCATTGTAGCATTTTTTAGTTTCATTAACTGCCAAATCAATGTTTTGAGCCACCACGGACTTCCCATTCCATCCTTTTGATGGTGCGATGGTTTAAATTTCAAAATCCAACCATTTTATTCTATATTTTTATTTCTACATTGTATGTCGTTTCTTGTCTCATAGAAGTGTTGTGCACCTAACACCAAATCAAATTCCTTTTAGGTGAAAAACCTACTTGGCAATAAACCTAATTCTGATTCTGATTCTGATTAGATATTTGAAACAAAAAGTACTTCAGGTGAAAAGCTCCCAGGTTGTTTCTTTTTAGCTGTCATTACCCGTTTCTGCAAAATGGAAACAATGCTGCAGCTGAGTGCTGGTGGGATAAAATTATTATACAAGGACATGACTTCTACTTTTCAGCTGAGGAAATCTTATAAACAAAAGCATTTGGCTGCCTAACCGAGGGCCTGCCGAGGACCACTGCTGACACACGTTCTGAGTTATGAAATAAAGCTGTGGTTCGGCGATTGAGTAATCCTTAAAGTGGTAAATCCAGTTTTGTTAATGCTTGTTATTCAACAAACTCCAAAACTCAGACAGGCATTACTTTGCTGTTTCAGATGTGAATGCTGAGTACCTCTCTTTTAATAGACTCTTTTCACCTTGATATCACAGGCCTCAGATGTTTTGATGTCGCCGTGGGAAATGACTTATTTTAATCATGGCGCTAATATTTTATTACACATTGTCCTCACCTGTGGCTTCATCATTGTAAGTAAGTGGTGCTAATATTGCATCGGCCAACAGGAGGTGCCATCTAAACAATCAGAGGCAGCAGCTGCCGCAGCTCTGCCGCGCGTCGCCATGTCGGAGTCAAAGGCTGATCTATAACTGCTGCAGGGCGGGAGGTCTATTCCTCAACCAGCTGCACTGTGCTGTAGCTTATCTCCGGCTGTGTCTGTAGCTGATGGATGACTGTGCGGAGGCAGGGGGCGGGGGTGAGGGAGACGAGAGAGAGGACGGGACAGAGAAGCAGCCCCCCCAGTGGTAGAACACAAGCATAAGGAATGGAAAATCATCACCAAATGAAAAAGAAAATACAGCAGAACACTTCCTTCTACTTTTGGCTGTGTGCTGTAATTCCATCAGTGTTTAATCACATTTACACTACAGTACCAGAAGAGGTTTTTTTTTTTTGGGGGGGGGGGGGGGTATTTGATAACTAAATAGCAGGCAGGATGGGTGTGTACTGGAATTTCCTGTCACCTTTTGTGTCGGGACAAGCTAGAGAAAGCAGCGGTTGTTAGTTTGCCTCCGAAAGGTCACGTATGTTTTGAGCGGTGTCATATTTATCGTTGAATAAATAGAACAGCTACTTTCTGTCCGTTACTGGGGAGGCCATAGCTACAGAGAAGTGTTGTGTCTGTCAGTGCAGTTCTTCTTATTCAAGCGTGTTTCCTGCCTCATTACGTGCTGATATATCTTGAGGTTTTTCCTCCCTTTGGTTTTGACTAACTTATTGATTGTCCCCACTGTGTTTATACGCAGCAGGCTCAAAAAGGTCAGCTTTTAACAACAAGTTGAGCATAATGACTCCATACTGGCTGAAAAGTAGCCATGTTTTCTCTTGGGATGGTCTTGCGTCAGCGTTGTTCATGGAATGACATTTAGTAGGAATTATGGTCCTGTGTGAGCCTGCCCCCTGTTTGTCATTAGGATACCATCTTTGTGTGCGAGTCTACATTATATTAACCAGTTTTACAACTCCCAACAATCGGCTCTCAAGCAGGATGTGCACACACACAACAATGGCCCATTGAACGATTCTTTTCTGGTTCTCCTCCTTCTTTTATATGACTCCTCTCCAGTCTCACAATGGCGCTCTGTTAGGCTCGGAGGGGAAACTTGGGGAGGGTGAAAAGCGGCAGCTCTCTGGAACACACTAAGAGAGAGAAGCCTGTTGTTTTTGCACAGCGGATGGCCATTTGGTAGCACTTCCACTCAGCTGCCACCCCCTCCTCCCCTTTCTCCCTCTCTCTCCTGCTCGCCCTGGCTCTCTCAGCCCCTCCCCTGCCGCTGTGTCGCCTAGCAACCGAGGGCTGGAGCAATCGGAGCAGGGGCAGAGCGATTCAGGGAGCAGATTGGCGGATGATTTATTAGCTGGGTTGGAGAGCAGTGAGCCCAGGCAGCTGAAATGGAGCCTTAAACTGGAGCCGACATGTAGAGAGGGAGGAGGGAGCCAGCAAGAAAAAGCAAACTGAAAGGAGGAGGGGGAGCATGCATGCAGCTCCACTGTGGAGAGGAACGCTCGGGCTGATTAAATAGTGCAGTTAGGGATCATAATTAGAGCAGACGCAGGCTACAAGACAAGGTCTAATTGATTTTTAGCCGTACAAGTTTTGGTTTAGATGTCATGGAAATTTATCCTCAGCTCATCTCCTCATACTGAGAACCACTTCAAACATTTGTGGATTATACCCAGTAAGAAACATTCAGAAGCTAATGTTTCCCGCAGATATCCGCCTGCTTTTCTCATCACCTGTCAAGCAGAGCCTGTGATTTGATCTCCTGAGCCTCTGCAGCGGTGTATCACTGCTTATGTTTCTATGCGAAGTTTCAGTCAAGTGGTTGGAGACGGGTTTCACATGTGGGTGAGGTTGTGTTAGAGACTGCTCCATCTACTGGCTAATCAACCACTCCGCTTTCAGTGTGATGAAAGCAAATTAGCCGCCGTCCCATGATGGAAAAGGCCTTATTATTTAGATGTTGGCAGAGAGAGAGAACATGTGGCTTTTGATTCAGACTCTTACGTTTGATTGTTTAGTCTCCACTCTGTCTATACTTTTGTTTTTTAACGTCACACCCTAAAACTGCTAAACCTGAGACTTGTTTTGGGCATGAAGATATCATAACTATAATGACTCATTGCTGTTGGTAAGGCAGACTTCTCTGTCTTGCCTGTAATCCCCCCCCCCCTGGTTATAGTTGTACTCACAGCTGGCTTTTTAGTCTTGTAATTTTGGCCTTTGTTCCTTAACAAAGCTTAATGTGTAAACAATCTGTGGTTACATAACGCACTGTACACAGCATGGAAAATTAAGTCCTGAAAACAGGCAAGAGGCTCCATGTCTGGTTTTCCTCCTCTCTTGTCTCCTTCCACCATGTCCAGGACCTTTCTCCTCACAAATTGTGTCAGCCTGCCTCCCCTCTCCGGCTGCCAGCTAGTTGTGCCTCTGTGTATGCTCACCCCAGGCTCTGAAAGCATTGAAAGGACTGCTTTAGTTTTCTCTTAAGGCAGCTATTTTTGGTCTTTTTAATAACAAACACAGGCTTCCGTTTTTGGGTTGTTGTTTTTTTTTTCTTGTTTTTTTTCTCCTGTGGAGGCAGAAAAAAGAAGCCTGCTCATTCAGCGCTAGAGGAAACGAGAACAGGCTGAAATGAGCCCTGTGCCTCACACCAACATGAAGCACACAACTCCACTTCAGGTTTTCCAGCCTGCTGCAAACCAGAGGCTCTCTTGCAGAAAGATCACATGTAAAGCCTTCCCCTTTGTAGTGGAAGAGCAGAGAGTGACAAGCTATTTCTTTCTTGTTAAGAAAAAAAATCGCCGTGCTGTCGGAGCCGTTTTGGATTTGTCCCCAGATTTTTTTCCTGTACCAGCCACTTTACCTGTGGCTGGACGTAGACATTCGTGCTGAGCTCCCTGTGGACTTTTGCCTTCTTTTCGCTGGAGTTACTTAGTGGAAACGGTTGGCTGAGATCACTGAGGAACGGGGCTCGCCTATGGAGCAAGAAAGTAAATCTGTTGGTTGTCTGCTTCGCTGGTTATGAATGTTTTCAGCCGTCGCTTTTAATGGCTCGCAGTCTGTGGCTCTTAAAGGAGAAGAAATCTGTTCAGGCTGTTTGGATTTTTGGCTTTATTTGTCGTTTTTGATCTCCTTGAGGTGAGCTTGCATGTTCAGGTTCACTTTTCATGTCAGATTGAATCCTGTGTCATGAAGTAGAAATCTCTGTCATCGCGTAGATCAGCTCCTTTCTCATGCGCCAGGGTAAATAGGTTGATTTTAAATCTGGACATATTTTTAATTTTTCGAAAATTGGTTAAATTTAAAGTAAAAATTAGAAACTGTCCATGTATTTTTTTTCAATTGTTTTTTTTTTTTTTTTTCTCTTTAATCCTCAACTTTAGGGTTTGACATTGAACTTTCCGAACACGCTCTACCTGTCTACCGGCTGTGTTTTCATATCATACTGTATTTGTGTAACTATTTTTGCACCGCACAAAGTCGAGCTTAATCTCTGCTGCATTACTTGTCATTTCCTCTCTCTTTTTGCTCTGACATGGCTGTTTGCTCCGGTGTTTAAACTGCTATGCCACAGAGGTTTCTAAAACACACCTCTAAATCAAACCTCTCCGACCACAGACCGGCAATGTGAAAGAAAACAATGTTTTTAGTTGCTTTGTTTTTTTGTTGTTTTTTTTCTCTTGGTTTCTCAGCGGTAGCTTTAGCCACCACAGTTGCTGACTTCACATCAACTAACTCGTCTTTTTTTCTCTGCTTTGTGAAATATTACAGAAGCGCTTCATTAAAGGGTTGAGACAGTTTGGCAAGAACTTCTTCAGGATCCGGAAAGAGCTGCTGCCCAACAAAGAAACGGTATGGCCATTTATTTACTGATATATTGTGCTTGTTTTTTTTTGTTTTTACATCCCAGAAATGCATGAAAAAGAAACGTGCCTGAATGCCGTGGAGCTTAAAAAATAATGAATCTTCAGTGATATTTTAGGATCAGCTGTTTTGTTTAGGTGTTTTTTTGTTTTTGTTTTTAAACACAGGCCTTGTTGATCAAAACTGGCAGTTACAGTCTTTCAGTATAATCAGACTTGATGGTAAAAGAAACCTGTTGTGCTCCAGAGGGGAAAACAAATAGCTAATGCTCTATAATGGCAACAAGTGAAGTTACCTGCAGAACATTTAATTTGCACCCTCTAACAGCAGCTTGTAAATAAGTTGTCCAGTTTAGATTTGGAACTGATCTCAGGTCTGAGATGTTTGCTGGTTGTTTTCTGTTCTGTATTAGCATGTCTGCTGGTATCAGACTTATGAACACTTCATGTATGATTAGGCCAAATTTAAATTTAACTTTAAAGACTGCCCTCTTTTAAAGTCTACTAAATCAATTGAATTTTTAAAAAGAAAATTGGATTTTTTCCCGTCGTTTAATTCATGCAAAATAATTTTCAGGCAGATTTGATATAAACAGACTTTGACAGCTTGGTGAAATATGAATTACTAAGAATGTGCAGTCAAAGCCGTTTCAAGGAACTGTTGTTTGATTTGATTTTGCCAAAGGTTTCTATTTTTGTAATGCATTTAATTGTTAAATATTGTTCATACTATTATCAAGTTATTTATGTACATAGTTTAAAGGAGTGTTAGTTTAGTCACATTTGCCCCTATGTGTGCTTTGTCACTGAACAACTGCATTGACCTTTTCATGGTGTAAATGGCTCAAATCCAGGCCATACAATGATTAACATCTACCCATTTAAAACCAAGTGTAGCCACCATGGTATGTTGTTTGTGTTTGCTGATGGATAACCAATATTTAACTTTTTTACTTGTTCTACTTGTTAGAACTTCTTGGTTCTATGTTTACTAAAGTTCACTATAACAGGGAGCTTGTAGCACATGTTGCCTCAGTCCTTTACACCTTTAACTGGGCTGTTAAATTATTCCCAGATAAGCACTGTGGTTCATAAAAGTATCCAGACGTTGCTGCATTTTGAGCCACTGCTCCTGTTGGAAGTATGCCGACACAGTCTTGACACAGACATCAAAGAAACATCAAAAATGGTTCGTCATAGTTCTCCTCTGTCCCATTCCCTGCTCTGCTGTTGGGTTAGAGTTTGTCAGCCTTTCAACAACAAAAAAAACCCACCTTCATGCACAGAAGAACCTCTTCAGTGTCACTTCCTTTGTGGTCCATTTTTTATTCCTGAGAGCAATTTGAACCTTTTGAATAAGAGATTACAGTGTATGAATACTGTTTCCTTATAGAGGTTTCTCCAATTATTTTTACTGGTTTTGAAATATATGACTACTCCACTTGATTGGCTATAAAAGAAGTATTAATGCAATTCAACCTGGAGGGGAGTCGACTTGGCAGGAAAGGTAATAGACCTCCTCCAGGATCTGGGCCCGCCACCACCACAGAGCAGCGAAAGATTAATTTTCCCCCTGCAAATGGAAAATAAACTGGCCTTTAAACATTTGAAAGGATGACGGGAAGAGCAAGTGGAGGGAAGCAGCAACCTGAGGAGAAAGGGTGAAATAGACGTCAGCTGAATATAGACACAGAAAAGCCTGGGTTGTCGCAGCGGGGGGAAAAAAAACAACTTTGTTTCTGATCTGAGCGAATGCCAGTCGATACCCCGAGGAAAGCTCCATTTATTCTCTACCTGCTCATTCCTAAATCCCGTCTCTGGAACACAAGCACAACGATATCTTAAGACGTTTTTGGTCTGTGAAATGACAGAGATTTGTCCTTTATCTCCAGTCACACATGTGCATCTCTGCTATTCCACTCGCATGTCAAGCCGTGAAAAGAAAAGTATTTTGCACAAATAGTCATGCTCCTGCCCTAAATCCCGGCCAAAGTGCACGGCTTAAAGCCCCTTGGCTGATATCCAGGGCTACAGAGGTCCAGTACAGTGTGTCTGCCCCTGACTGTTCCTCCCGCTAGCTCCTATTAGCCGCACTGGCCCTGAAGCGCCAGCACGGCTCAACCAGCCAGTGCCAAGGGTAAGCACCCAGCGCTGTGTAAACACACCAGGCCTGACTAACAGGCAGGAATGCCTTATATAAAGTCACATAAAACCCAGAGGGGGAAGTGGGTGTGTCGTTTGACCGTCTGCAACTGGCTTTGCTGCCACCATTTCCTTCACTCCAGAGAGGACGTCATGGAACATGAGCTCCCTGCCCTCAGTGTTTGAGCAACTAAATCTGCTGAAATGGCAGATCACAGATAACTCATATTTTTACTGGAGGCTTTTTTTATGATGATGTTGTTTTTGGAGAGATCAACAAACTGTATTTGCTGAACTGATTTGTATCAACTTTGTTTGCGAGGCAGCCAAACACAGACAGCTGTGTAACTGAAAACTAGAACGAAATGGAGAGTTTTCATTTCGCTTCTCAAAGCACTAAACTGAAAACATGGATCTTTGGCTGGAAAAGATGCAGCAGTTGAGTGAACTGCCGTTTACACATTAATGTGCAAGCAAAAACACATTCAGGTAACCTGAAGTTTGGCTGTTTTATGACAGAAAGGACTATTTTCACTGCTCAGTCAACTGTTCCTTTTTACTTTGCAGAAGTCATAAAGTGAAATATGCATCACTGAGTCACAAACATTATTGCAAGAACAGCTCATGCTTGAAATTGTATTCATTGTGTTTTTGTCCTGAGAGGGAGTTTTTAGATTTTAAACAAACACAAGTCATTTACTTATTTTGTGCGTGTATATAAATGTATTATACTGTACATTTACAGATCATAAAAATGAATGGCAGTAGAACACAGAGTAAATATAATCTAATAAAATCAGTGAGGCAACTTAAAATAAGTTACCAGTTTAGACGAAAATCTGTGAGCATGTGTTTTTTTTTTCAATTTATTTTTTTTTTTTTTTCTATTTGGCTCCACGTCTCCTGTGACTTTGCCCCCACTTACTTAATATTTATATATTAAGTGCTAAAAGTGTAGCAGTACAGAGTTGCATAAAGGAGAACTACATTTTGTGTCAGCCTGACTTTTAGCTACCAAAACGTTTTTTACAGTAAAGCAGTAATACATTTCAGGAAAGCTGTAGTTTCTGCCAAAAGGCAGGCAGGCTAACTGGACCGGAAAGACATAATTATTAATCAGGTTGATTTGAAGAGACATTTCTGTCTTGTTAGTTCCTGCTTTGTTTTGGCCTGGCAGTGGCGCTGCTGCGGTGACACTGCGTATGAAAAGCTAACATAGGTGAGACCACTGCCTTCATGCATTTGGCTTCACATTAAACAAGTTCTTCCAGGCAGAAATTTAGATTCCCACATCTGGGGAAGATAATGATAATGCAAAAGAACCAAAGCCAGGGAATTCACCTGCATGCTCGGACTTGGTTTCATTCAAGATTTTCAAGTGACCTGAGCTCTGTGTGAGATTATTATTTTTTTTTTCCAATTGCAGTCCTTTTTGCGTTGGTGTTCAGATCAACCAGGATGAAATGTGTCTGCAACATTGCGTCCTGCTCTCACTTTGTGTCTTCCCCACCCCGACAGCAGAGCAGTGTTCTGAATGCAACCTCACAGCAGATGTTTGCTCTGGTACAATCTGTACAAACGTCAAATTGAATTCATTGCCATGTCTTTAGTTCAGCCGCCAGAACCTTGGCAATGAACGGGGTTATAAATACTTAGTTTCTAACTCTAATCAAACCAGCTAGACGCTGCGGGGCCAGGTGCATTTGACAGCATCTGTCAGTGGGATGACAGAACAGCTTCCGTTTTTTGGTGAATGATATAACTTGTCTTGGCAGTGAAATTGCCGTCGGCTGATGGAAACCCAACCAGAAAGTATTGATGTTCTTTTTGCAGACGACGAGCAATTCAGCACAACTGAGTGTTGGCAAAATCTTTTTCATTTTTTTCCCCCACCAGAATAACATGAGAGCCAGAGTTCCCTGTGTAATTGAGTTCTTTGGGAAGCTTCGTGTGGTGGTTTTTGGGGACTTGCTTATCAGCAGAACGTGGCGGATCGACCCTCCAGCAAAAAGGCACTGTTGCCATCCAATCTGCTTTCACTGGCAAAAGCGCTTACAGCAGGAAAACCACGAGTGCTGATTCTTCAGCATGTACATCCCTGACCTGTGAAAGCAGAGCTTATGCAGTCATTCTCCGGCAGAAAGGCGCTGCACAGCAGGGACCGGCTGTCTATTTAAGCGTCTTTCACATGCAGACAGCTCCACCAGCCCAGATCCTCTCACTGCTCCGCGACGGGTGTCTTAGAGGCATCAGTGTCCTGTTGCTTTATTTCTTAATTGACCCCATGTTTAACATGTGGCTGATGCCGCAAATATCTGACCTTAAGTTTTCTTTTAAACAAAGAACAGTGCAGCCTTTGCAATTTGAGTAGAAGCCTTTAAAATAAAAATGAAGGAAATGGATTTTTCCTCTCCTTACAATAACAGTATATTGAAAATATACAGAGAAATGAAGCGCCTTCATAAACTCAGTTTAAACCTGCAATGAAATTGTAGGGATCACAGAATTCTGTTGTTTAATTTTTTTTTAAAATTCATTTTGTTAGTCCAAATCATCTTTAAGTCTTGTAGCTACGTATTGTGGGACTTTTTTTTTTTTTAAAGTTCTCCGTTTGCCATCTGTAATTTTAAACTTCACTCATGTTTCCATTCAGATTCGGTTTGAACATGTATATTTTGTAGTAAAAATGCCTTAAATGGCCCTGTAGGCCTCACTAAGTACAATTCTAACCCCCTTAACCCCATAAGCATTCAACAAGTTGTCTCTTATGGTGACAGGCAACATTAGAATGAAAGAAAAGTCAAGCATCCCTTCAGATGATGCACTGTACATCCCGCCATAATGAGGAATCACAAGTCAAAGGGTCAAGCGCATATGTAATTAAACTGAGGTTTGATTTAGCTCAGAAATACTTCCCCTTTCACCTTTCTGAAATGAATCAGGAAGCAATCCTCCCTCCTCCATTTGCAGGCTGTGGAGGAAACGAGAGGGAGCTCAGGTTCATGCTGCACTAATGGATGTTTACACAACTCAAAATCAGCCACCAGAGCCCAGAAAAGGCATGCTTCCCGTGCTCTGACAATTTTTTTTTTCAGGTGGTCAGGCAAAAGAAATATTTTATTTACTGAGAGATTTTTCAAATGGTTTGCGGTTCAGTGTTGATTGTCCATTGTTATCCGCTGCTGGCTCCTCATTTCTCCCTCTCAGCTTTCCTCTCTCATCCCTCCCCCTCCTCGCTTCTCCCCGGCTCTTTCCTCCTTCCCCTGCTCTTGCCAGTAACGGCCTTAACCGTTTGGCTTCATGTCAAAGCAGGGGCCTTTTGTGGCTCTGTCACAAATCTGCCAGGAAAAACAGAAACCATCTGTTCAGGCCTGAGCCTGAGAGTGGATGAGGGTGTAAATACATGAGTTTAGCCCTCGCCCTCAGCCCTGCCCGCGCATATTGGACCACAGAGCCCAGTGGAGAATCATGTGCTCCTACTCCCACTCAACCAGTACTCCCACCAGCCATTATGCTGTAGGTTGGAGTGGTTTCATGTTTAATCTTATTCAACCAAAATCTTATCATCTTATTATCCTCTGTTGCCACTTTTAAAGAATAAGTGAATACATTCTAGTAAAAAAAAATTAAATAAAAAATCTGAGGAAGTTTAGAGGAAACAAAAACGCTCTAACATGTAAATATATTGATGTGCCAACACGAGACATTTGCATGCAGGACCGTTTAGTAAGACAAATTTTTGACATAATTACGATAATGCCAGAATAATTGAGGAAGTGTATTTGAAATAATTCATTCCAGTTGCTGTAAATGGGATAATTACATGATTGATGAAACCCCAGACCCGTTTTTCCAGCCATTCTTCAACCTCTGTTAAATGTTACTGCTACATACACGACTTTACAGATGCCCATTTATATATGTTTGCCCATTTTAAGCTGCAGCAACCGGAATGGAGGAGTTTCGTGATAGGACTGTAAGCCCTTTCCTTGTTGGATAATCCAGAAGCCAGAAAGCTCCTGCAGATGGAAGCAGTCTAAAAGGCCTCATAATGCTGAGCTTATGTTGTCGCTATCTCATGTTCTGCAGAGCAGCGGTGCAGTCTGTGCCATTCTGCAGTGATTCAGAAGGCTTTGGGAAAATTAGAAACCCTCAAAACAGGGCCTGCCTTGATTTCTATTTAAAGTGTGACCAGGATTCTTTCGCTAAATGCCGTCGAGCCGTTTTGGAAGCAGGTTCATGAATTGGCTTGTGTTATTGTCATCTTCCATTTATGAAGAGATGGTGACTTCACTCAGAAGATTCAGATGGTACACATAAACCGGCTGACCAAACATTCGGTCACGGGGTTGAAACAGAAGGTAATGAAAGTTAAAGTGTTGCCGTGGGCATATGGCAGCATGACAAAGTGACTTTGCAGAGAAAAATACACAGTCTTTGTGAGAGATGGGACTGATGTGGCTTCAGAGGATCCAAATTTGACATGGCGACAAGCTAAGAGGTGATCTCTGTGTCTCTTTGAGTCTCATTTTCAGCTCAAAGCCTCTCAAAGCTTCTCCCAGCCACACAAACGCCTGGTTCAGCTTTGACTGCTTTTCACTCAGACATTGTATACCTCAACCACATATTCAAAGTGTTGCCTGGGCAGTCTCACAGACAACCATCTTTCCTTTACTGGTGTGTGAGAGCATCACCAAAAATTGCAATATTTTCAGCTTTTTTTTTCTTCTTTTGCTATTTTCATTTTAATTTGGCTTTTTGTTCATCAATTTGTCTTTTAAATGACTGTCAGTATGCTTTTATTTACTCGTGACTTTTGAAAGCTGCCTCTTCTGTGATCTTTTCTTCACATTAGTGCACCTGTTAATTCCCATTCAGAGACTCAAGTTAAGGTTTTCATTAGCCCCAGTCAAATGCAATAGTACTTGACACGGTGTAAATGATAGAGAGGCAGGGTGACCTTTCCTCGTGTCTGCCAAGCTGTTGCTGAGACCGTGTAGTTGTCGGCCCGCAGCGAGGAGGCCGAGAGGCACTGCTGAGAACAGTCATTAAGCACAGGGCAAAGCCAGCGCTCGGCACCACTCGGCAGTTTTGATCTGCACATTTCAATTAGATTTCACATCAGGACGCCTGCCTTCCTTCAGTTAGCACCTGCGGCCTGCCTTCCCAACTGGCCGGCCAGGTTGAAGGAGGAGGAACACACATGGCAGCACAGCGTAGATGTGAGGGGGACACAATAATTATTTGTTGCCCTGTTTTTGCAACAAAACCGAACCACGTAGAAAATATCTTCAAGCAGATTATTTTTTCTCTTTGCCAGTGTTTTTTTGTCCTTTGAAGAGTGCTGCATATGGATTCCATTCATCCTCTTTCGATGTGCTCATCTGCAGAAATTTGAAAGATCCCTCGCGAGCTGCGGGGTGTCATTGTCTGTGTTGCACCTTAATTTACCCTGAAATGTGAGAAGGTCTCACTGAGCTCAGACACCAACAGTAAATGCTCCCAGAACTGCTCGGTCTGATAAGATGGAGTCCTACAGTGTCTGGTACATTTAAATTTCCCCTAAGAGCTACATGAAGTGGCCTAAGCCCACTGAGTCAGTCGTTTTCTGCCAATCAAAGCTCTGATTGAGAAAGACTAGTTTTAATGTCAGATTCCCAAAATGACCTTTTGAAGTGAAACTGGGGTACCCGCTGGCCTGTGTTTTCCCACAGCCAAAATGGTGCTTTTCACAATAAGAAAAAAAGCCTCTGTTGCCTCTTTGTTTCCATTATTACCACCACCCTGTTGCACTCTGAAACAGCTGGCTTTGGTTCAAACGGTCTTTTCACAACAGTTTTTAGTGCATTTCATCAAACCCTTTCCTCGCAGTTGTTTGTTTTGGTTCATTTTTACAGATATCGTCGGGCTGATGCTGAAAAGCTGCGAACACATTTTAGAGAGCAATGGACTGACTAATTTATGTCAAGTTTCTCCGCTGCTGCGGAGAAGGAAAACAATCAATAGCCATTAAACCCGGGGAGCTTTGTTGAACAGCAGTTTAACAAACGTGAGACTGGCTGCCCTCTGGGCTTTAAAGATTACAGGTGACTTACTGCTCACCATACAATCACGCCACATGACTTCATGAATTTTCTGTGGGACCACTGGAGAATTGCTAACTAGTACGAGTTTACGGTTTTTGGAGACAGGCAAAGCTGCACGGCTCTCCCTGAGTCCTGTCAGAAGTTCCCTATGCTTGTTTGTTATGAGCGTAGCTGGAAAGAAGCTGTTAATATGCACCAGCAAAGTGCTTTCTGATCCATGATAGCATGTGTTAATGTTTCGGTTGGGTATTGATTTCCTGGCGGCCTTTTGTACACTGGATTTATCCGCCTGGCTCGCTGACAAGTGCTCACCTCCGAATGTTTGATTAAAGTTCAATTGACTCTTCCAGTGAAGGGGCGAGGAGCCATTTCACTCCCTATTTGTCGCTCCAAAGCTCTGCCTGACACGTTCTTTTGTTCTCATTCAACCTGCTGCCACCCAGGCAGCCACCAACGCACTGATCCTAATATCCCAACATTCAGGGAGCCTCCCGGCCTAATCCGGGGACAGACAGGGCCGTAGCACAAACATGCCCAGCCAGCTCCAAATCCCGGCATGGACTGACCCCGCTCCCTGGCCCTTCCACTCCAAAATGATCTGCTGGCTGCTGGAGTGAAAACCCTCAGAGATGAACCCGTATTCGAGTGAAGCTCAACTCACAGGAGTCTCTTGTGCACGCCTTTTTCCACACAGGCACAACTTCATTAGAATGTATTGTTTCTTTCAGGGGGAGTTGATTACCTTCTACTATTATTGGAAGAAGACCCCTGAGGCAGCCAGTTGCAGAGCCCACCGCAGACACCGCCGCCAGCCCGTCTTTCGCCGCATCAAGACACGAACAGCCTCTACTCCAGTCAACACCCCCTCACGGCCCCCATCAAGCGAGTTTTGTACGTGTATTTCTTCCCTTTTCTTTGCAGACGAAATGAAATGGGAGAAACGACAAACATGGTCCGGAGGTAAAACATTTGTCTGACGTGTCTGTTTTTTGTGGCTGTTCCAGTGGATCTCAGCTCAGCCAGTGAGGATGACTTTGACAGTGAGGACAGCGAGCAGGAGCTGAAGGGTTACGCCTGCCGCCACTGCTTCACTACCAGTAAGAAAGCCACTTCAAATATTGCCTGCACACACTCCTTGCATGGATTAGACTACTATTCCTGTCCCATCTCAAGATCCGTGGGGGCCCCGCCCAGCATCGTGATTTGTGACAGATGGGCATCAGAAGATGTCACAACTAATTTGATCAAGTCAGCCATAAGCCCACAGCTCGTTCACTGCACCTCATTATTCTTCCCACTTTTCCACACAGCTGGCTCCCAGTCCCAAGCTCCCATCTGATCACACTTGGGTTGCCATCACAACAAGAGAGGCTAATAACTTTGGCTTTGCAGTGTTAACCCATATATAGCCTATTACTGAAAGCTTAAATACTGATTATTTCATATGATAGATCAGACACGATCCTAGATTTATCTTCTGCGTAGAAATACTTTTATCTTATTAAAGGGTGAGATGCAAAGTTCACTGTTCTCTATATGATGTTGTTCTCGGCACATTTCTTTGGGTTGTTTGTTCCCTTGACACATTCTGAGGGTGTCTTATTTCACAACTGTAAATGGCTTTCCTCAGCCTCCAAGGACTGGCACCACGGGGGCCGGGAGAACATCTTGCTTTGCACCGACTGCCGCATTCACTTCAAGAAGTACGCCGAGCTGCCCCCCATCGAGAAGCCTGTGGACCCGCCGCCATTTATGTTCAAACCTGTCAAAGAGGAAGAGGATGGACTCAGTGGGAAGCATAGCATGAGGACCCGACGGAACCGAGGCTCGGTGCGGCTACAGTCTTGCTACACATACATCCATCTATTCTCACCTTTAGGAAATAGATCCTCAGAGTCATCCCTGTTGTAATGAACAGGATTATAGAGCCTATCAACACATGACAGAGTGCGGGGGGGAACTTTAACCTGCTTCATATCACATATTAAGGGTTGTTAAAGTGCTCTGAAGTTTGATGTATTTTTTTTTAGGTACGTCTAAGCTACACGTATGCTTAATGTTTCTTGTGTCTACAGATGTCATCGCTACGTAGTGGTCGTAAGAAGCAGACAGCCAGTCCCGATGGCCGAGCCTCGCCTACCAATGAGGATTTGCGCTCCAGCGGACGGACTTCACCCAGCGCTGCGAGCACCGACAGCACCGACAGCAAGACAGACTCCATGAAGAAGCCAAGCAAGGTAAAAAGGACAGAGAATTGTCAAAACCTTGCATCATCATGCGCGTACATCTTTGATGCACAATCTCATGGCACTGCTCCTTTTGCCTTACAGAAGATTAAAGAGGAAGCTCCTTCCCCGATGAAGAGTGCCAAACGGCAAAGAGAGAAGGGAGCTTCAGACTCAGAAGAGCCCGAGAGGGCTAATGCCAAAAAGTCCAAGACACAGGTGAGTTCTGTTTCTCTGTTTTTCCTCTCACCCGCATTCATTTCTTTGAAATCTAGAGATTGTTTGCGATGAGGTTCATCTGGTTCTCTGCACTGCTCCACAGGAGCTGAATCGGCTGGACTCCCCATCAGAATGCGAGGGAGAGGGCGAGGGAGAGGGCGAGAGCTCTGACGGGCGAAGCATTAATGAAGAACTCAGTAGTGATCCAAAAGACATTGACCAAGACAACCGGAGCTCTTCCCCAAGCATCCCCAGCCCCCGTGACAATGAGAGTGACTCGGACTCATCCGCCCAGCAGCAGCAGCTCCTGCAGAGCCAGCACCCCCCGGTCATCCAGTGTCAGCCGGGCACCTCGGCCGCCCCTTCAGCACCTCCTCCACCTACAACCTCAACCCAAGCACTGCCCCCACAGGTCTCCCCTGCAGCTGCCTCCACCTCTCTACCTCCTCATCCTCTGCCCCAGACCAGCCCTCTCTCTCTCATCCAGTCCGGAGCATCGCTCCACCCTCAAAGGCTTCCTTCTCCTCATTCACCTTTGACTCAGGCTCCGCCCCCTGGCCCCACAGTCCCACCTCAGTCTTTACCCAGCCCGCATCATGGGTCCATGGCTCCCATGCCGCATCCACTACAGCCTGGACCTTCCCATATGCCACACCCTCACGCCATGACCCCTCAGGGATTCCCCGTGGGTCCTTCTCAGGTCCCAGCCCCACCAGTTTCTGGCCAGTCGCAGCAGAGGGCTCACACGCCTCCTTCTCAGTCCCAGACATCAGCTCAAAGTGGGGGCCAACCTCCCAGAGAGCAGCCACTGCCTCCAGCACCAATGTCAATGCCTCACATCAAGCCCCCTCCAACTACACCCATCCCGCAGATACCTGCCTCACAGTCTCACAAACACCCGCCCCACGTCTCAGCACCCCCATTCCCTCAGATGCCATCAAACCTGCCTCCACCTCCAGCCCTCAAGCCCCTCAGCTCCTTATCCAACCATCACCCTCCATCAGCACATCCACCCCCGCTCCAGCTCATGCCTCAGGGGCAGCAGCTCCAACCTCCACCAGCCCAGCCTCCAGTTCTCACCCAGTCTCAAAGCCTGCCGCCTTCAGCCAGCCACCAGCCTCCTGCAGCTTCTCCGCTCCCGCCCTCCGCAGCGGCCTCGCACCCCAACGGACCACCTCAACCGCCTTTCTCTTCTCATCCCTTCAGTACAGTTCTACCTCCAACTGGCCCTCCCCCATCCTCCTCAAACTCTATGCCAGGCTTACAACCTCCATCTTCTTCCGCCCCGTCCGCTTCCATCTCCATGCCACTTCCTGCCTCAGTAACCTGTTCTGGTGCTGGCCCAACAATCCCACCCGTACACATCAAAGAGGAGCCTCTGGATGAGCCGGAGGAGCCTGAGAGTCCACCACCCCCTCAGAGAAGCCCCTCCCCAGAGCCTACAGTCGTCAACACACCCAGCCACGCCAGCCAGTCAGCACGGTACGTCTGGGCAGAACTCTTAGCAAACAACACGGGCAGGGAAAGCCTGCATAAGCTGTTATTTATCAGTGTGTTGAGCTGCTTATGTTCTCAACTATGAAGTTCCTTTCTTCATGCTTTAAAACTCTGATGTAGGCAACAAATCGAATGTCGCTAGCAAAACAGGCATCCATGGCCACAATTTGCCTTGAGCTCTTGGTGCCTGGTGGTGCAGAATTATCAGGGATGGAGCACAAGGAGATTAATTACAGAGAGATGTGAACGAGCTGAGTTATTTGAATATGAGTATCAATAGTTGCCTTGTGCTTAAGTGACTCTCAGACTTTGAATGAATAGCAATGAGGATTTTAATTCGTAGTCGGCATAGCAGCGGGTGCTGGGGGAGTTAGTTTCCTTTTGAATAATGGACAAGTGTAAGCTCATGCAAGCAGTTTTTAATGTGATGGAGGACATTAAAATGCCTTTTAGCACACAAAATGAGGCAGAAGTTTGCTTCATTTCATGTCTCTGTAGCGAGCATAAATTTAAGAACTGAGATGTTCAGCTTTTTGAGAAAATGTCACTTATTTTAACAGGTTCTACAAGCACCTGGACCGGGGTTACAACTCTTGTGCGAGGACCGACTTCTATTTCACTCCGCTTGCTTCATCTAAGCTGGCCAAGAAGCGAGAGGAAGTTCTGGAGAAAGCCAAGAGGGAAGCAGAGCAGAAAGCAAGGGAGGAGAAGGAACGAGAGAGGGAAAGGGAAAAAGAACGGGAACGCGAGCGTGAGCGAGAGAAGGAGGTCGAGCGGGCTGCGGTGAGTTCCTTTACCTTCCTTCACCTCTTTTTTTGGCATCGAAGCGTTTTCCAAATGCCAGCCTGAACTTTCCTCATGTTTTTACAGAAAGCGTCCAGCTCCTCTCATGAAGGCAGAATGGGCGAGCCTCAGATGGCTGGACCGGCTCATATGCGCCCGCCGTTTGACGGGCCTCCGACTACGATCGCGGCTGTACCTCCGTATATTGGCCCCGACACCCCTGCCCTGCGCACCCTCAGCGAGTACGCCAGACCCCACGTCATGTCGCCCACCAATCGAAACCACCCGTTCTTTGTGTCCCTCAACCCCGCGGACCCGCTGCTGGCTTACCACATGCCCAGCCTGTACAACGCTGACCCGGCCATGCGGGAGCGCGAGCTGCGGGAGCGGGAAATGCGCGAGAGGGAGATTCGCGAGAGGGAACTTAGAGAAAGGATGAAACCCGGCTTCGAAGTCAAACCTCCAGAAATGGACACACTCCACCCCTCCACAAACCCCATGGAGCACTTTGCCAGACACGGGGCCATCACCCTGCCCCCCATGCCCAGCCCGCACCCGTTTGCCTCCTTTCATCCGAGCCTGAACCCACTGGATCGTGACCGGCTAGCTCTGGCAGGGCCCCAGCTTCGGCCAGAAATGAGCTACCCAGAGAGGTTGGCTGCAGAGAGACTCCACGCTGAGAGGATGGCCACAGTGGCCAATGACCCCATTGCCCGCCTGCAGATGTTCAACGTCACGCCACACCACCACCAGCACTCGCATATCCACTCCCATCTCCACCTCCACCAGCAAGATCCACTACACCAAGGTAAAAGAAAGCCCTGCTTATATGTAAATTGCTGCAGAAATGGCACCACTTCAGAGTTCTACACATGAATGAGTTCATGAATTGCTCACCTTGCAGCAAACGGATCACAGCAGTTTTTTTTAGAACGTTTTTCTTCTTTTTTAAAGAGAAAACATTGCATAATTGGACATTTTAACATTTCAACACCGGAAGAACTTTAATAGGAAAAAAACTCTGTAACAAACATTTGTAATTACAATACTATGACGAAGAGTGTGAATAATGCTCGTGCCACGTTTCAGTATCATAGACATGCTCTTTGAATTGGTGCCATTTCTTTAATTTACTGAACATGTCTGCATTTTACTGTAAAATGTAACAAAGAAATAGTTTAGACTTGAAGAAGTAGTGGTAAATGAGCATGAACTGTAATTTTAGTCACCTGTTTATTTTGTGTGATCCAGCTAAAGCAGTTTCCAATAGACAGTTCAGAATAAGAAAAGTTTTTAGGAATCTGAAACGATTTAAGTATTTTTGTCATGTTTTGATAAGGCATGAAACAGTGTGCTATGTTCTAAAATAATACTACTTCTCTCATCACAGTGAAAAATGAACTAAGGGGACTTTAACATGTCTCACCATTTAATCTGGAACATAACCTCACGTTGAAATTCCTTGATAATGTGTGACATTGACATTAGAGATTGGATAAAAGCGATTTAAATCCTCATTAAGGCTCCAATTACCATGTGCTGTTCTGCTGTCCCTGCACTGACCCATGAGAGAAGTAACATTATATGAAGCTGTGTCTTGCTAATGCCTGTAGCTTGCACTTTTTGTGATATACAATCTGTCAATGAGTGTACCCTGAACCTAAGACTCTGACACCCAGAAGGTGGTGGTGAATGTCTTGTGTGTCCTCCAGGCTCGGGGGGCCATCCCCTGGCAGTCGATCCCCTGGGAGCTGGACCTCACCTGGCCCGCTTCCCGTACCCTCCCGGCAGCATCCCCAACCCCCTCCTGGGCCAGCCGCCGCACGAGCACGAGATGCTGCGCCACCCGGTCTTCGGTAAGCTCCGACCCCTCAAACCAGAATGACCCACCGTCTCATCCATCGCTCCAGACCTCCGGATGTAATCCTCTCATGCTGCCTTTTCTCCAGGTGCTCCATACCCACGGGACCTACCGGGAGGCCTCCCGCCGCCCATGTCAGCAGCCCACCAGCTGCAGGCCATGCACGCCCAGTCCGCCGAGCTCCAGAGGCTGGCCATGGAGCAGCAGTGGCTCCACGGCCACCATCACATGCACGGAGGGCCGCTGCCTGGTCAGGAGGACTACTACAGGTCAGACGAGCACCACATGTCAGGATTAGCACGTGCACGGTTCTGATTTGACAGATTTTGAAACTTAATCTCGTTTCCCGTTCCAGCCGGCTGAAGAAAGAAAGTGACAAGCAGCTGTAAGCAGCCGGGGGAGGCGGCGACTGATGGAAGCAGGTCACAGGAAGTTGTTACAGAACGGTCTTGCAGAGGCTCCTCATTGACCTCGAAACGAAACAGAAAAAGACCAAGTGGATCATCTGAGAATTCCTCTGATATTTGGTTTTGTTTCTTGTCAAGGACACCTTTTTTTTTAAACAATTATTTTTCAAGACATTGACTTTTTTTTTCTTTGTTGGTATATAGCCAATAGTGACAACATCCTCAAGACTCCTGCATGACAAGCTTCCCTGACATTTTTTGTAGGTGCTAGAACAAGACACTGTGCTTATCAAGAAAATCAAAACAAACAAAAAAAAGACCCATCAGACCATTTATGGGAAAAATAACAAGTGCTATCTTAAATTCAACATTTATTTTAATACATTGTTGGAGGTTTTTCATAATTTTAAGAAAAGCTACAGCATGGCGTTTTTGAGTCTGTAAATAGTATATAAAACATATAAATATTATAATTATTATTATTACTAGGTGTGGACTCCAAACCAAGTCGTTTCAGCCTCCAATACACTTGTTTTAAAGCATTATCCCTTGTTTCAGAGGGGAACACCATGGCATTATATGAGCAGTTTCCGAGAGTTGCGGTTCAGTTGTGACATCACTGTGTTAGATTTAGTCCCACATACACTACTGTATGTAAAGCCTCCCCCCGCCACTCCCTCCACATCCATCCACCACCCGGGACGCGCAGCCGCTTGTCAGAATGTGTAGACTGAATGTGGTTGAGTTACTGATTTGAAGAGGTGACGCAGGAAGCTTCAGCGGAGTGCACACTTAGGCCACGGATTAGCAAGAAAATGAAAAACTTTGCACTGAAGGAGCATCCCTGAGCTCTACTCAACTGGTTTTATCCTTTCAAATCTTACTCATGCCAAAAAAAAACAAAAAAACAAGGGAGCCGCTCTGTATTGTGTTCTGTTGTTTTTTAACAGAATTATTTTAAGTGTGATCTTAACAATTCGGACATCTGAGAGATTTTTGGCTGAATTGAATAAATTTGCCATCACTCAGAGATTTTTTTAGGTAATCAGGACCTGATTTTTAAACTTTAAACTCGCTGTTAGCGGAGCCTAACAGGACTCTAGGATTGTTTTTAATGTGCGCGTGGTTGTGAGTCTGGGAGTGTTTCACCTGGCGTCCCTTTTCCTGACATCTTTGTTCGTCGCATGGCTAAAACCAGACCCAGTCATCTTTCATGTAGGCTGTAATAATCTTCACTGTGACACTAGAGGAGGCCTGCCAACACATGACCACCGGGAGGTGCAGGATAGAGGATTTGGTGTCTTAGTGCATTCCTATGTTTTCACATGCCTTGGTTCCTAATGGAAACACATGGCCTCCTCGGGCTCAGGAGTGATGCGTTTGTGTGCCACTGACTGTTACATGTAGTGTTGGCGTTTCATACCAGAGCACATGAGCCCATTTTTGTTTGTTTTTTGTATTTTGTTTTTGTTTCAGCCATGACGAGTTCTGCATTTGTTCCATGCACTGAGACTGTTTGACCGTCATGGACATATAAAAATTAAAAAAAACTGTGGCTCTTCTTATATTTTTCATCCATTTTAACCAGTTGGAACATACTGTATTCGCATTTTAAAGAGACCATATCTTCCCATGGAGCCCTATATCTCCATCTAAATGCCTGCAAACTCCCACCTCCTTATGAGTAAGCCTTTGAGGCCCTTCCAGCAGCCTACCATCCTGTCCCGCCATCTTTCACCGGTTCTTGTCTCTCTCCTTGCAACACATTCTTCATCGTCACCATCATCCTTTGCCTCATTTCCGGATGATTCCCTCGCCTTTTATTCCCTCTTTTTGTGTCTCAGAAACCTTTGATGTTAAGTGTTGTCAATGGTTTAGCTTCTTGTTTCAAAGCGGCAATAGCAGAATGTAAATTCTGACTGCTAAGATTTATATATATACTGGTATCTTGAAGCTTATTGTATATATGAGTAGTCGCCATGGGATGACACAATGTAAACAAAAAGTAGAAATAATAAGAAAAATTGTGAGTCCTGTGTTCTCTCCATTTGAGTATTTTGTAATTTTTTTGAAAAATTTGTGGAATTAAAATAAACGACTAAGTTACACCACAAGAAACGCCTCCACCCTTTTTTTCCCCCCTTCTGCCATCTGAAGATCCTCGTCATGCTCGTCCTGTTCTTTGCAAACAGAGCTGTTTGTACACCAAGGACGAGCACACCAAATCTAATCGCCCACTATAATCCGGTTTCAAGGTAAACAACTTTGATTACTCACTGCTCAAATGCTGAATTGTTTTCGAAGTCGGCCCATAATTCCCCTCTGTTTTGTGATATGTCATTTTTTAGCTGAGCAGAGGGACTGAAGCTTGTGTATTCTGGTGACACTTGTGTCCTACATTTTCACAAGAATAATAGGCTTTTTTTTTTTTTTTAAAGATAAGAATTTCCTGTCTGTTTTTTTTTTCTCCCCAGCCTTCCATTTTCTCAGCTTCACAAATGGCTTTGAAAGCTCCCCGCAGCAGCAGGTAGTGAATCTGTGAGGAATATTGCACCGCTTCACTTTTAAGAACATCAAAGCCGGGCTAAGCCACGAGGAACACCTACTCGGGCTGCCATGCCTTGCTATCAGCGGGGCAGGGCTGTCATTTGCTCCCGTGTGTTGGGAGTGATAGGCCAGCAATCTGTGATGGTGTGGTGCCGCGATGGCTGTCATTTTGAGACGCAGCTATTATTCCGCCGCCGCTCTCTGAAACGAGGCCCTGTCCTCGGGAAACTGGAGCTTCCTCGCAGGCCGTATGCCGCGGATGTCATGTGACGGTGCCAGCCTTGTGAGGAGGTGCTGCTCGCCTCACCTCCCCATAAAGCAACGAGACGTCAGAGCCGAGCAGAGCTGGCTGGTTGAATAATTCATCCCCTCCTCCTCCTCCTCCACACCGGCGATGGAGCGACTGTGACTTGTGTCAGCTCGAATCCTTCTCATGATACTGTGTGTACCCCTCAGGCATCCACACAGGGATTTCTAATCTTTTTTTTTTATTATTGTTTTTTCTTTTTCTTTTTTTCAAGATGCTCTTTTTGTCTGAATAGCAATATGTCTTTTGCTTTTCTGGCAGCGTTTTTGTGTGTGATTGCAGCAGGTCCCGGACATGGAGCCTCCTCGGTTCATGCGTCCTCCTGTCTCCTCTCTCGCTCCACTGGGCCTGCCTGCTGCAGAGCGTGATGCTCAATGGCAGCGAGGAGGCTACGTGCTATTAGTGCATTCAGTCGGAAGGTAGCTGCGCGGCAGCTCTGAAGCCGAGCAGGTCCCCACGTATCAGAGAAATAAGCCGCGCTGACACAAAAAAGCAAATCTGCTGCTGCTGTCTGGATTTCATCTGCAAGAGGCACGCGGCTGTGTCTGATACTCTGCCTCCGCACCATCATCCTGCCTGTGCATTTCATTTCTCACAGAAATGAAATCCCATCCCCATCTGGCCAGTGTTCAGACATTTAGAAAACAAGCAACCTGTATTTATTCAGAAACTCGCCTCAATAAATGAAGCCCAGCTGTAGGAATTTTAGATGCATACGATTAGAGGTAATTAACAACATCTAAAATGCAAAAGAGGCTCTCTTAGATATGCAAGAGGGTGGTTTATTTAAAACGTTTTCCCTGCATATCAGCAAAATGCATATATCAATGAAAGAGCCTTCATTTTTCAAGGAAAGGTCAAAGTGACATTTTCCTGTTTAAATAAATGAAATAAACTAAAACTGGGAGAGTAAATGTTCAGAGAGAGAAACACCCACCAGATTATTGACCTCGGAATTCCAGTGCAGCTCTAATCACTTCCTCTCCGTTCAGCGTGTGAAGCAGAAGCAGAGGTTCTTTTTCCTCAAGACTCATTTGTGGAAAGTAACATACCCAATAAGACTGGAGAGTTTTGGGGCTTTTGTTTTATTATTATTGTTCTTTGTGGTCTGGGGATATTTGGCAAACATATTCGTTTGTATTCACTAAAGAACTATGAACTGCTTCCTTTGCTTCCACCACTTCTATCCTGTCCTGATGCCAGGATTTATACTCTTTCCTTTTTTAAAAGATATTATTCCTGTGGTAGGTTTAATATTCCTAATATACACATCTATTGGCCTTGAGGACATAGTGCTATGCAAAATCCTTGAGCCGCCTCTCATTTCCTTATATTTGGCTTCCAAGGAGCCATATTTTTTTTTGTCTCGTAAATTTTAAAGTGGTCTCGAGCAATAATTCTCAAGGCTCTCTGAAGATCTTTTACAGCGTTTTCTTTGGACCTTTACTGTTGCTTCACTCATTTGCAGTCCAGTCCTCGTTCCTTTTTTAAATTTTATTGTTGTATTATTTTTGTTCTGTTACCTAGCAGTGATGTACACAGCTCTCAAACACAAGAAAGGCATCAAACTCAAGGCATGGACAAGTATTCTCTCAAGACATGACAATGTTGCTTGGAAACTATTTCAAAATCATGTGCCTTTGTGTCTGGGTGTCATTTTTTTTTCAAATTTATGGAGGTACGATAACAAAGAATACCAGTCTTCATGGTTTGACTGGCATGAAATGAACCAAGGTGAGTCTCAGAAAGCTGCTCGGCAAAAACGTAACACGCTGTGTCCATAAAAAAAAAAAAGACGAGGACCTGGACAAGTGTTGTAACAAAGAAGTGGCAGGCTGTCCACCTGGAGCAGACGAACAGTGTATTAAAACGGCGTCCTTAAAAAACACGAAACAAATGCAGAACAGATTTGTCAGGTTCAAAACAAACTTCACAAATCTGGTTGACTTTCAGCTAATTGTTTTCTGAAGCCTCGCCAGAAACGGTGTCCATGACAAAGTTGCTTTAAGGAAGGGAAATGGGAAGCAAAACAGGCCGAGGTAAGCCAAGTTAGACAAGAAATGGACTGAGAATCTGTAATAACGGCTCTGATGGAGTGATGAATCCTTCCCTGAGCACAGGGCACTAA